AAGGTTGTCTTTAGTTTGGAGTCATCTTGGATTTGGGTCAAAACAAATTTTCTTCTGGTCTCTGATATAAGTGAAAAAACAGAAAGGGCATGTAAATAGGTTTGCTAGAGTTTGCTTATTGTGATTTGAACAGAAAAGCAGTATAACTTCCATGGGCTCCACAATGAAGTGTACAATGAGCTAACCAGTTACCAAATGGATTTAAGTAGAAGGCAAAACACTCTTTCTCCAAATCAAATGTTAAATGAAGCATTCAGGATTCAAATGAGAGACAGACACGCATCTCATTAGGATCCAATTCTATCCTGCTTCCTGGAAAATAGGATTCAGGTAAAGGTTAGGAAAAGATGAATGCATTTCCCTCAAGTTGCCCATGCCCTGAATAGTGGGAGCATTTGAAGGAGGAAGAGTGCTGTGATGTGTTCAAGGCTTTAGTACTCAGAAGACAATAATTCCACTTTTTGTTGAGTGCTTCACTGGAGGCAACAGTAATTGAGGAGGGATCTGAACTTAGGAGTCAGACCACAGTACCTGAGTTGGGGGCTCCCTCCTTAGGATCTTGTTGCCATGCAACTTACTACATACCAACTGCTTTTATCATGTTCATCGTTACAGATGCAAGTCAGGTGCTAAAAATAAGGCAGTTTTCTATAAGTGTATGCCCATCAATGCTTTGTGATGAAAAGACTGAAATACTACTACACACAAATTCTTATGTAACAGCTTGAGTGTCCCCAGTCCTTCCTCTTGCAATGTTGTTTTCTTGTGTTCTACAGTTTGAACCTCCTATCTTGACCTGTGCGTTTGTTCTTCCAAACTCTATTCCTATGACAGCATCCAACCTTTTCAGAGAATTCAATCTTAGTTTTATCTGGGGAGAGGAAGGCACAGGTACCATCTGCACATTTCATGCATGAGGCCATGTAAGTTAGCTATGCAAGTTTTTTATATTATGTGGGCATTTCATGCCGACCTTTTTTAAGTCCTATCCAGAATCCAGCACAATCTTTTTAGTGCCTGAAGTCTTACCACATTTAACTTGTATTTACATATGGTACTGAACTGATTTAATTACAGACAGACTCAGGCATAATAGCATTTCTATTCACTGAAGTATATTTTTCAGACATAAATAGCACTCCTTGGGTAGAGAGGTGTCTCTGAAGTCCTGTCTCCAGCAACGTAAGGTTTTAAATGTTAACTAAAACAAACATCTTTAACTCCACCTAGAGACAGGTGGCAGATCCCAAACCTATGATATCATGTTTTGACTGTATGACACGCCATGTAATAAGTAGACTGCTGAAATCTGCACTCATTTTAGTTTTTGAAAAGTCTCGGAATATTGTGTACGTTAGAGCTAGACTAAATGTTACTTTGGAAAATCATTTGTTTTGACAAAAAATACATTTGGAGCAGCCAAAACTATTAATAAACTCAGGTCAAACTCAGCAAATCATTCCAGCTAAAAAAGATGAGAAATGCCAAAATGAATTATTGCTGTTTCTGACATTTCCAAGACTAGATCTACAAGCAGACATAGGTACTATTCATAAAGCTGAAGAGGAGACAGTGGACCTCTTATGTACTTAGGCCTGTGAGCCAGTATCATATACCCTGGCCTGATTCAGAACATGGACTTGAACCAAGGTCTCCTCTCTCACAGGAGAGTGCTCTAACCACTTGGCCATATGATGACCTATGTTGGAGGGGGAGGAATTTCTCAATTTTATTGGTTGAAGCTGTTTCACTTTGCATAAATTACATTTATTGGGAGGGATGCAGGATCATTTCCACTCTATCCTGATATTTGCGGTTCTTGCTTAAGTAGGTGGGTTACCCAGATTCCATTTCTAATGAATGTTACAATTTAACAAGGGAAATAGCTTTGAAAAAAGAGAGCACCTACCTTGGAGTACTCAGCTTGTGGTTGGTAACTCTCCTGAGAGGTGGGAAGCCAGAGTTCAAGTTCCTGCTCTGAATCTGACAGAAGCATGGTTTGAACCCAGATCTCCCAGGTGAGTACAGTAACCCCTGGGTGTTGAGGGCACCAGCCTCCTCAGCCTTTATTAGCTTACTGCTTCATTTCCTTTGCTTTTATTAAAAAATACCTAACACAAAGTCATGAGTATTGCTGTACCCAATACTAGTCTTTTTATTTGCCAAAAACAAATTGTTTCAGGATGACCTGAAACTTATGAGGCAAGGATTTTTGTGGATCAGTTATATACCTGGGATGGGTAGAGACAAACTTTTGGGTATAAATTACTCTTCAGCTTAACCACTGGCCCCCAAAAAATCAGTCATTCACACAACTCGAGTTTCAATTAGCAGATGATTTTGGAGACAGATATGGGGGTAATAGCAAGGTCTGTAGTCACTTTCCTTTTTTGTCACTTAATTTCTTCAGCTATGAAAATGGGATTCCAGGATCCAAGACATGTTTGTGTATTAGACCAGCAGAGGTCACCAGACACTTACTAGACATTTTAAGGATGCTAGGTAAAGTCTGAAAGTTCAGGACTTTATTAATCATTCTATCCAGCTGTCTTTCAGTTCATATACAACCTAGGTAAAAAAATTTTGGTGCACAGGGCTTTGGAAATAGGTGCTTTAGAAATACTTGATAGATCAAGGAATAATATAATATCTGAGTACTGGGACTTTATAAGTCTGAGGTTGAATATTTTAAAAACTAAAATTCCCTTGCAAAAGACTTGCAGTTGTCTTTTCCCAAAAAATTCAATGTCTTGGACTATCTGGTATCTTCTGTGTCCTGTTAGATTACTGTTCTTCCCATTTGTCAATGAAACAATGTATCTTTTAGTGACAATGTGCTAGCATGCTGGTACCAAAGTAGTGCAATAATGGTTGAGAGAGAGGAAGTTGGAAAAAAAACCCAAGTGATTTCCAAGTGTGGCTTGTGAGCACTTCTATCCCTGAGACCTACCTAGAAATGGTCTCTTCCACCTGCTCTAGAAAAGATGTTTTACTTCTCTTCATTCCTTGGGGACCCATGTCTCAAGAATCTTGCTTCAGTTGGCCTCTGACACCACTTCATCTTCAGCAGATGGATTTTGCCACATAAGGGAAGCATAGCTTCTCCCACCAATTGTAGCTCAGACAAAAGACTTCCCTAAACTATTCAAAATGCATGGATCTGCAAAATCAAGCTTGAATACTTTCAAGAGCTGACTATTTTTAAAGATGTCGTGCACTTCCTGCATATGTTTGTGCTATGAGAAACTTGAAAGACATTGGGAGGAAAAGTGTTCCTCTTTTTCAATACAATAAATGTGTGCATGTCAGGGGACAGTATTTACAGAAAGAGTAAAACTGACTGCAAAATGAATTAATGTACTGACACCGCGTGGGTGCGTACACGTGTTTGTGTGCACACACGCCTTTAACACAGAAGCAGAGAGAGATTTTATTTTAAAAATGATGGTATATTCAGCAACACTGGCAGGGTTCCCTAGGGCAGGTGTAGAACCTGAAATTCCTTTTAACTTGTCTTTGAAAATGTAGTAGCTATTAAATGGTTAGTGTCCCTTTAACCAAAGTCACTTCCAAACAAAATAACTGTTAAAGCTTTAATTTCAGGTCTTAAAATGAGCTTTGTTTACTCCTCCAGGCTCCATTACTCTCTCTCCCTGTAAGAATTGCTTAAGAAAACATTCTTTGTTCTTTCTCAATTTCCTTTCCCTAGCTCTTTCTTGGCATATACCTTAAGACGGCAGTCTGCGTTCTTTCAGCTTCTCTTCGCTCTGAACATCTGCTTCAACAACCCTTTAAGATGTTTCTACCAAGCTGTTCAGTATTCCAGGTAGACCCTATATGCATCCTGCATCCCAGACAAAATGCACTTCTGATGCTACTCTTACTGGATTCAGTGGGATAGGAAGCGGATTCTCTTTTGTTTTGTTTTTTGGCTTCTTTTTGTGTTTCTATTTTGTGGTTTTTCCCTTTCCTATGGACTGATTAGTTTTCCCACAGTTGTCCATTGCAGGTTTTCTTGCATTTTCTCCTTGTGTATTTGGTACAGGCCATTGTCAAAGAAAGGGTCCTGGGCTAGATGGATCACTGGTCTGATCAGCACCCCAACTGTTATATTCCTAACATAAAAAAGATGCTTAGATTGAACACAGCTTCTCACCAGGGCAGATCAAAACACCATGCACAAGATGGATTCAACTGGAATGGAGATTTTAAAAAACTGCTCATTCAATGGGTTTTAAGACCCTTGACAGTTACATTAGATAAGAATAGAAGCCCTCATACTACAGATGTGCTCATTTCACATAATTGCCCAATCCTGCTTTTAAGCCAGCTATACTCTTGGCCTAGCTCTACTAGTAATGAACTCTGTAGATTAATTATACATTTTGGCTTTTAAACAGTTTTCTTTTACAATGCCAGGTTCTGATTTTAAAGGGATATTGTAATATTTTCCTAACTGCATTGGGAACTTCATTTTTATATTTAAAAAAAAGAAAAATATATTCACGATGTTAATAAAACACTTTATATTATTGGAAATTGATATATTCAAATATCTCCCTCATGTTTTACTGATTTTTTTTCCCCAAAGGCTAGAAGGAGTCATTATGATGATCTACATTGACCTGCATCACATAAACCAAAGAATTATACCCAGTCATTCTGATGGAGCAATGGTCTGTCTCCTAGAAAGACTTATCATCTTTTTTAGAGAGATCACGTGATGGAGAATTTGCCATATGCCTAGTTAAATTGTTCCATTGTTTAATTATCCTCACTTTTGATGTTGTTGGTGCTTAGCTTTGCCCCCCCAAGCAGCGTGTTATAAGTTGAGTTTAGTGAGTTTCAGCGTGTTCTTAATTTCATTCTCAGATTGTAATCCGTCTTACTTTGAGGAACTGGAGTTCTCAACACAGCTGTAAAAGGGTAGTATGCACAAAACAGCAGTTTGGTAGTGAATTAGAAAGAATCATTAAAAAGTTAATCTGTGATGGGGTGAGTGAAATTATCTTTCCTTTTAATTTTTTATAATAATTTTAGGCCTACTTTGAGAAAACATTGTGTATAACAGAGTCAGTAAAATGAGAGCATTCAAAACAGTGAGATCAGTGTGGTGATCTCATCTTACACAGCTGGACTGGCATTTTCTGCCTCCCCACCAAGCAAATAATGTGAGGTGTTTCTTACAGGTAATGTCTGTTTTAGATTTCCACTTGTATACACCCTTCCACTCTCACTGAACTTGTCAAAAAGTAGGAGAGTAAAAATGCTTCTCAGTCTTCCTTCTCCCACTGTAAAACAGTTGTAATGCTAAGTCTAAGTAAGTTCTTCTTGCCTGCTGGGTTCTCTCTCACTTTCAGTACAAGATCTGGTATAACAATAAAAAAAACAAACCCCAAATAAGCTCATTTCCAGATGATAACAGAGAGAGCTAGCCATGTTTATTTATTGTTGTTTATTTTACCTGGCCTAGGTGCAGGTGTTGTTTGTTTGTTGTTTCTTATACCTGCCCTAGGTGCAGTAATTCATTTAGATGCTTGATACCAAAAAATGCCTATTGGTTGTGGTTCATGATTCTGCTCCAGAAGTTTACATCATCCATGCACAAAACCTCAGGGTAGCTAAAGTGATTTATTACAGCCCAACAGTAGCTGATAGTCAAAGAAAAAGTTGCTCTGTCTCCTTGCTCATTGCCAGGGAATGCCAGTGCCTTACAGATGTTTGCAAACTAGGCTTTGGCTGAAGACTGCACAGACAAACTGGTCAGTGAATACTAATGAATAGGCCTGGAGAAAACATGATGAATCCACAAACAGGTTGTGACAACCCTTCTACTCACTATACTTCTGGTATCTTACCAGCCCTTCAACAAAGCCCTTTGGGACTCATGAACAGGGAAAGTTGCTAGATTAAAATGTAGTTCTGAATCAGTTTTTCTTTCTAGACTCTCTGTGGATGGGGTATGAGGTAGCTAGACTTGGGAATTCTGTCATACCTGCACCAGTACCTATACCTACACCGTGTTTCAGGTCACAGCATTTCTTCTGAGAGAGTTGGGTGCATCAAGGTCACTGCATATGTATATAAATACAGCTCATGGATCAATGCATGCTATGATTGGATAGTATAATGATACATGCATCTTAGGCTGGATGTTGGCTTTCCATCCCAGGCTACCTGGACTGGGGCAGAGACTGCTCCCACACATACACAGGATAATTAAGCACCCCAGTGTAACTACCAAACAAGCAGCCTGCTTTTGCACAATATTTATCTTGGGCGTATGTGGAGAGGAGAGCCATCCAGTTATGCAACTGCTTACATATTGTGCTGAATTGGAGCCTTAACATGTAGTCTGCAGACAGTGAAATTAGCCTTGTCTTCAAGAAAGTGGACTCAGACTGAACTGGAGGTGAGTAGTGGGATGTCCTGAGAGCTGGTCTCTGCTTCGGTGACTGTTCATGCATTTTATACAAGTATTGTTTAATAGAAAATGGAGAAAGTCCTTGGAGGACCAAAACTCTAGGCTTCCCAATCCCAGGTGAATGCTATAGCTACCAGCCCAGAGCATCATCCTCTTATGCCCTCTCTTTCTGGCCCCATAAAGCTCCTATACCTTTCTGCAGAGTGCACCTCTCCTGTTGAAGCTGTGCTAGTGTCCCCTCCCAGCCGAGGCTCTTTCCTTGGTCATTAGAACATTCTCCTAACAGGTGAGAGTAGGTTGGCACCCCCTCAGGTGAGAAGAGCCCTGGTTTCAGGTCTCCTACATACTAGCTGAGTGATCAAACCACTAGGTTATTACATAAAAGATGGGAACGATGCCTGCCCCCCCCCCCCC